CAATTGTGATTGATGACACTTCCTGCAGACTTCCCACAAACAAAATCAATGAAGCACACGATCCTTGCTTAACAATGGTAACTGGGACTGCTAGAATTGCAATTGTTAAGCAGAATAGATATGTGACATTACACTTTATGATCACATTGTTTAATGTTAGAAGTTGTAGTCCCAATTGCCATCATTAACCTAAGACTGGCTGTAACAAAATATACCATTGGAAGCATTTTTTTTCATGACATAAAAAGAAGTGTTGGGCTCTCTTCTTTTTACCATTTTTATTAGTGACTTGGATGAATAGAAGAACAGAATTGTAAAGTTTTGCAGACTATCCACAATTGTGTAAGACAGACAATTCTGTAGAAAAAAATACAACTCAAAATAATTCTCAGAGGCTAAAGAAATGGAATGAAAATGACAAACGAAATTTAACAGAGATAGATTTAAAATTGCTAAGGGGATAAGGATTGCTATCTTAACAGAAACTAATACATTCATATTTTGTGGATATTGGATTCAGTTTAAGTAATGGTTGACATCAACCATCCCTTAATTTGCTTTAATCTAATTGGCTATTTTAGCTATTTTATCAGTGAAAATTGCATGAATTAGAAACTGATCAGAAAAGTCAGACACGAGTTTTCATGTAGGTAAAAGAAAGAATCACCACTTAAACTCAGCACTGCATTAATAAGTTGAAACCAAGAAAGGGAATGATCCTAAAGTTGATAGGTAAAAGAAACCTGAGAAGTTTTGCATGATGTTCAAGTTCAGAACAAAGGCATTTATAAAGTATATAAATTTTAAATACACTGCATTTTGCCTTAAGACTTTTTTTTTTTCAGATGAACTGAAATCTTGTCTGGAACTGTCTTTGTTACATCAAAGAACTGTATAGAAAGCTAAAAGAAACCAAAGAAGCATAAAAGGGCATAGTTTAAAATGATTAGTGACAATTTTTATACAGCAGAGAAAGATTTTTTTTCTGTCTCCTTCCACCTCCCCCAATGAATAAATTCATCCCATTAATCTTGTCCCAAAATGTTTCAGTAGGAATTGTTAAAACATAAGAAAGCAACATATTAATTGATGCTCAACTGCAGCATTCCTAGTATTCAAATACATTTCAAATAAACTCAGATATGTAGCAATTAGCATTTCAAAAACAGAAATTTACACTAACCTGTAAATAATAACATTTGAAATGTCAGTGCTCTGTAGAAAGCTGTTTTAGTTGCTGCTCTTTTGAGACAAGGGAAGCGGTGACTCAGTGCTTAAGAAGCTGAATCTTAGATCGTTAAATGTCTACAGCTTGGCCATTTGAGACCCGGTGCTGCGAGACAGAGTAAGTTACTGTTACTTATCCCAGCTCCTGCCAACCTAGCAGTTTGAAAGCATGCAAATGCAAGTAAATGAATAGTACCCCCTATAAGCATGCAGGAAGGTAACAGTGTTCCATTTTTCACCATACACACTGCTGCAGCATCAGTGGTGGGATTCAAAATTTTTACTACTGGTTCTGTTGGCGTGGTTTGGTAAATGTGGCATGGCTTGGAGGGCGTAACAGGGGAAGGATACTGTAAAATCTCCATTTCCACCCCACTCCAGGGGAAGGATACTGCAAAATCCCATTTCCTCCCAATCAGCTGGGACTCTGGAGGCAGAGAATAGATGTGGGCAGGGCCAGTTATAGGTGGTATTTACCAGTTCTCTGAACTACTCAAAATTTCTGCTACCAGAACTGGTCAGAACTGCTGAATACCACCTCTGTGCAGTGTGATGTTGTNTAGGGATTCGAACCACTGAACTGCTGACTTTTCTGATCGACAAGCTCAGCATCTCAGCCACTGAGCCACCCTATTCTAGGAGATTAGCATAGATGAATATGTCATGGAAACCTGCTTCTTATTTCCAATATAATGCGCTATATTGCAAATAAGACATTATATTACATCCATGACTATTTTAGTCATGGATGCTATTTTATTGTACAGTAAATCAGAACATATAGCAAAGAGAATCAACTTCAAATGTGATTCCATATATGACTTTATTAAATGAATCCATGTTCATTCTTTTATCCTTAAATATACTATATTAGAGCTGCTATCCTTGAGACAGTAGTACTATTTTAATATATAGGATTGTGATAGATGTATGTGAAATATTTTGCACACAAATTTTTTTTAAAAGCATTGTGTAATTACTAGGTTCAGTTCATACTATTTTCAATGGTTTATTTGTATCAAGAAAGTGGTCTGATGTTTGTATCAGTGTACAGTAGTGGAGAAGAATATATTTTAATTTAGTGAGCCACAAAATAGTCGGTACCAAAGGAAAAGGTAGAGTATCCAAGGTAATGTAATCATATGGTTATGCCAGTTTATTTCTGGGAATGATCATATAATGTAGTTTCTTCCATCATTTGTTGTTGATTACAGTTAGGAAATGTATTGCTTTGAAATGATCTTTTTTATGACCTTGTGGTACTTTAAAAGCAATACCTCATTGATTAAATAGGTTTTAGTTCATGCTTCCTTTTACTTAATGACCTGAAAGCATATTATCTTGATTTACACATAAAATCATGCTGAAAAGCATGTGGCATTCAGTAGACTATGTGTGTTTAAGTAGAATTAAATTAGCATTGAAAGTTATTAAAGATCTTCTATCCCATTGTCCAGTGGACTGTGATTTGAACTGAAATGAATAATAAATGAACCAGCAAATATGAAAAAGCCCTGATATATAAGACATTCTATAATCTGTATTTACCTTGCCATTATGTTTTATTATAATATTTTGACTGTATTAGCAGTCAAATGCACATTTTAAATTAAATAGTAAACTATAGGTCTTTATTATAAATGTTTTAAGAGGAATTTATTAGAATAGCTTGCTAAAATTAATTGAGCCCAAGTTTTGATTATTTTGGTTGCTTGTCTTAATTCTCCGGAAACAGAAGTATTGCTTACCTTTATATCCTTTAGCTATTTCCCTCCAGATTCCCCAATATTATTAAGATATAATTGTAGTAAAATTTGATATTTGATACCCTATACAGTAAGCATTCACTTAGGAGGAGGAGGAGGTGCTTAAAGCAACATTTGGAAACAATTTCTATTTTTTGGAGAGGATTGGGGAAAGAACAATAAAATAAAAAGGCTGGGATTATATCATGCCTTTTATTAAAGGACAGAACTATTGTTCATTTTTAAAAACTGTACCTTGAAATACTGCACTTGATAAAATGGTTAAATATGTTTCATATTTGTATTTATAGCTAAATTTTATTTAGCAATGCAGCATCTTTATATATTCAATTCTGTCTTTTAGAAGGTACATCAAAAGTACTCTAATTATTTTATTACTTTTATCAGTGAAAACTGCATGAACTAGAAACTGATCAGAAAAGTCAGACACGAGTTTTCATGTAGGTAAAAGAAAGAATCACCACTTAAACTCAGCACTGCATTAATAAGTTGAAACCANCTCTGTAATAGTACATGTGATTATATGTTATGGAAATGAAAAAATAAAAAACTTTTTGGAAAAAAAGAAAAGAAAAATTGGGACAACCCATTTCCTGACTTATTTTGATTTAATAGTGAAGTAGGTATTTGAATGCCTTAGCAATTCTGGAAGACATTCCCTTTAATTTAGTCAGTAATAGAAGAACATAAATAATTAGACTCTGATCCATCTCATATTTATTTCTTGCAGTTTCTAAGCCAATGTATTATTCCTGATCAAGGTCTCAAGCTAATGTTACTTGTGCCTGAGTATTTGTTCAAAAAAGAAGAAAAAGAAAAGGGTTACACTGCTGATCTATCTCCATCCTCCAGCACCTTTTATTTCCAAAATACCAAATGGGCTTAAAAATTAAAGAAAAGTGGGTGGCTTCCATTAACTGCTTGGGGGAACAGGATCCAAAAGTAAATAGCATAAGCAGAAAGAGAAAGGGATACTTCAGTAGGAAGTGGGAGGGGGGGTGAAGGAGACTAACTGGTGATCCCTCTCTCCAATGGCAGCTATTTTGGGAATGCATCCACATACCACAGTCTCAAAATTACAGATGCACAGTTGGGGAACCCTGGTCTCATTCCACCTTAAGCTTGTCAACAGTAATCATATTTAATTTTGGTGAGTAAAGCACCAAACAATAATCATGCAATTTTTCATCTAACAATTTGCTGTCTTTACTGGAATAAACCTATTATCTTCAGAAATGTTCAAGTTGTAACAGTTGAAGATCTCACGGTTTCCTTCTTTCTCTTTCAGCTAATGGCAATTACAGTATTTTAAATTGCACACAAATTTTACATACCGGCAAAGAAGCCAATGTCTGGGTGTCCATTGGAGGACTAATTCCATTTTCAAACTACACAGTGGAAGTGAATGCTTCTAATAGCCAAGGCTATGTGATCAGTGATCCTGTAGAAATTGCCCTAACTGCTGGTGGTGAGTACAATAAAACAGTCTTATTGTATATGCCCTTCCTTAATGACCCTTTATGATTGCTATTCAAAAGTACATACAGTAGAGCTATGCTATCACTTGCCTCTAGAGCACGCTAAACAGCCTGAGGTAGAGCAAAGGGAAACAGAGCTATACACAACTGTTGATGCTTATAATAAATTTTCACAGGTAACTCTAGGAGATTAAAGGTAAAGATAAAGATTCCTCTTGCACATATATGCTAGTCATTCCCGGGGGTGGTGCTTCTCTCCATTTCAAAGCTGAAGAGCCAGCACTGTCAGAAGACATCTCCGTGGTCATGTGGCCAGCCTGACTAAATGCCGAAAGCGCACAGAACGCTGTTGCCTTCCCACCAAACGTGGTTCCTATTTTTCTACTTGCATTTTTACATGCTTTCAAACTGCTAGGTTAGCAGAAGATGGGACAAGTAATGGGAGCTCACTCCGTTATGCGTTGTTAGGGATTCGAACCACTGAACTGCTGACTTTTCTGATCGACAAGCTCAGCATCTCAGCCACTGAGCCACCCTATTCTAGGAGATTAGCATAGATGAATATGTCATGGAAACCT